CTGTTTCCCATTTATCAATCATCAATTGTTCCACATGTGCTTCTGTTGTTTCCCATTCGAAACTACAAGAAACTACCCCTATAACTTCTAGGGGTAGTTAAATGGGTGGTAATTTAGAGTTTGGATGCAAGGAAGGGAGGAAGCTCAGACTGACTCTACGATAAAAGAATCCATCATGCAATTTTCAAATCCTCTGCATTTTCCAATCTAGAAGGTAATCAAATTGAATTCGAAGGTGGGTTTTTGAGTTTGATAAATGGGTTTTGAATTTTGATTGCTGATCTCTGTTCTTCATGGTGACCCATTCCCCTTGCTTCGTCTACTCTCTTCACCACCACAAACCACCCGATCACCATCAACCCTAAACTTTAGATCATGGAGAAAGAGAGCTAAAGTTCAAGAAGCATGAGGAAGGGAACCAAGGGAATCAGAGAAGAGATTGAAAGACAAAAAACAACAGGTCATTAAAGAGCAACCAGCGATTAGAACTGAAGCCATTGGGTGTGAGGTTAGAGTAGAGATCAGAAGGATGAGAAAACTATTTTCTCCCCACCATTTCTGAAGGATGAGATTGGTTCTTATCCCTTGAACTGCAGGATCAAAAGTTTACAACGTACTCCTGAACAGGTATGCACATATTAGTCCTTTCAATTCCTCTTTATTTCCCCTTTCATTGAAAATACTAATTAAAGGTCCGTTCATGGCTTTGTCTAACCAAAATTGAAATCTTTAGCTGCCTAAGATGCTTATGAAAAGAGTCCCATGTACATACCCTAGAAAAGCCTATAGCAAGCATGGTAAATTAAGCGACTTTAACATGTTTCTTTCAATTTTAGATATATTTGATGCATGGTGGATGATGATTGTTTTGTTGGTTTGTCTTGGGTGTTATGGTTATTTTGATTTTGGAAGCTTGAATAAAAAACGCTTATAATTTGGAGTGTGAGAATAATTTAAAGTAAAAGAAGGATCCAAAATTATGTATCTAAAATGGATTACAGAATGACTGTTGCAGTGTTATATATATCTTGGATTGATGGTTCTGTGTTTTTTTTTCTTATTATATATACACTTTTTTGACATGAATGCTGTTGGGATTCACATAATTTAACGCTTGTAAGTTTATTTTTTTATTTAATTCAAAAGTTAATTTTGTAGATACATGAATCTGAAAGGATTACTTCCATTATTCCATAGTTTATAATACAAAGGTGGAAATGCAAAGTTTAACTTAGAGGATTGTCCAAATGATAAAGAATGAAAATTTGTTTCCCTTAGAAGGTGGACTCATCATCCTCTCTCAAGTAAAGGATTCTTGGTATTTGGAATTTTTAGGGTTGTAATGGGGTCTATTTG